CTCGGGTGTTTTGCCCATTTTTTAAATTAGGTTATTTGGTTTTTGCTTTTGAGTTGTGAGAATTCCTTGTGTATTTTGGATATTAACCCCATCTTCAATATACAGTTTGCAAATATTTCCCCCCATTCCATAGGGTTCCTTTTCATTGTGTTGGTTCTTTGCTGTGCAGAAACTTTTTGGTTTGATACAGTTTCACTTGTTTATTTTTGCTGTTGTTGCCTGTAATTTTGGTGTCAGCTTAAAAAAAAATAATTGCCATGAAAAATTCCGAGGAGCTTTTCTCCTATGTGTTATGGTTTGAAGTCTTACCTTTAAGTCTAATCAATTTTGAGTTGATTTTTAGGTGTGGTGTAAGAAAGGGGTCCATTTCACTCTTTTGCGTGTGAATAGCCAGTTTTTCCAACACCATTTGTTGAAGAGACTACCTTTTCCTCCATTTTGTATTCTTAGCACCATTTTTAATAATTAATTTACCATATATGTGTGAGTTTATTTCCAGTCTGTCTATTTGGTCCCACTGATGTGTCTGTTTTTTATGCCAATATTATACCGCTTGGATTACTGTAGTTTTGTAATATAGTTTGAAACCAGTAAGTGAGATGCCTCCAAATTTGTTCTTCTTTCTCAAGATTGCTCTAATTATTTGGGATCTTTTGTGGTTTCACATGACTTTTAGTTTTTTTCTATTTCTGTGAAAAATGACATTGAAATTTTGATAGCAATTGCATTGAATATATAGCTCACTTTGGGTAGTATGGCCATTTGAATAATATTAATTTTTCAAACCCATGAACAAGGTATAGCTTTCCATTTGTTTCTGTCTTTTTCAAGTTCTTTAATCAATGTTTATAGTTTTCAGTGTACAGAAGTTTTACCTCCTTGGTGAAATTTATTCCTAAGTATTTGTTTTTTGGTTGCTGTTGTAAATGAGATTGTTTTCTTAATTTTTTGAATTATTTGTTTTTAGTGTATAGAAGTACAGCTGATTTATGTATGTTGATTTTGTATCCTGAGTGTTTACTGAAGTTTAAAGTGTTTATTTTGTAGACACATTCCATCTATACCTTATTTGTTGAGATTTTTTTAATTGTGAAAAGATAGTAAATTTTGCCAAGTGCTTTTCTGCATCATTAGAATAATTAAAAGATTTTTATCCTTTATTTCATGGAAGTGGTATACCGCATTTATTGATTTACGTGTTGGATCATAATTGCACTCCAGGGACAAACATCACTTTATCACAGTGTGGAATCCTTTAATGTGCTGTTGGATTTGGTTTGCTAGCATTTTGTTGAGGATTTTTGCATCTGTGTTCATCAAGGATAGTGGCCTGTCATTTTTATTTTTATTTAAAAAATTTTTGTGGTGTTTTTGTTTGGCTTCAGGATCAGAGTATGCAGGTATCACAGAACCAGGTTGGAAGTATTCCTTCAATCTTTGGAAGAGTTTGAAAAGTATTGGTATTAATTTTAAAATATTTAGTAGAATTCACTAGTGAAGCTATCTGGTACTGGGCTTTTCATTACTGGAAGTTTCAATTACTGATTCAACCTCGAATCAATTTATTATTGATCTTTTTATACTTTTTAATTTCTTCTTGATTCAGGCTTGGTATGTGTTTGTTTCATGAATTTTTTAAGTTTTTTCCAGGTCATCCAATTTGTTGTTATAAAATTGTTCATAGTAGTCTCTTATGATCCTTTATATTTCTGTGGTATCAGTCGTAACATCTTTTCTTTCATTTCTGATTTTATTTGAGTTCTCTCTGTAGTTCTTGGTGAGTCTAGCTAGAGTTGTGTTCATTTTGTTTATCTTTTCAGAAAACCAACTCTTAGTTTAATTAATCTTTTCTTTGGCCTTTCCAATCTCTATTTTATTTATTTATGCTCTGGTAATTAGTTATTTAAACCCCATAACTTTGATCTTAATTTGTTCTTTTTCTAGTTACTTAAGGTATAAAATTAGATTGTATATCTCTTTGTTTTTCTTGACGTAGGCATTTATTGCCATGAATTACTTACTTTGAATGTGCAGTATCAAGAGTTGGACAGAAGGTGGAGCAATCCAACAGGTTCCCGCACCCTCCGCTGCCAGCGACCTTTAATGAAGAGCCAACTGCTGTACATCTCCAGACACGATACCGATACCGTGTGACCTCTCTGCCTGCAGTGTGTGGCACTGGGAGGGGGGCATGGGAGGGCGGGTTCTGGAAATCCGAGCCGTTGTTGGGCAGCGAGTCTCTGAGTTTAGCATCACAGCAGTATGGTCCAACAGAACTTCCCCCTGTGACTGAAATGACCTACACCTGTGCCGTCCCAAAGTACAGCCATTAACTGCATGTGGATATTCAGCACGTGAAGTGTGGCTAGTGTGGTGAGGAGCAAAAATTATTATTTTGTTTAATTAATTTAAACATAAATAGCTACAATGAGTAACAGCCTCTAGACAGGACAGCGCAGAGTTCTACAAACTTCAGTTTATCTAGTGATAACTGAGCACTCTCTGTTTCCACCCCTTTTTGACGTTGGGGTTTTAAAGATAAATCAGGTTGTCCCTCAAAAAGCTCACAGTAGAAGAGGGGTGTAGAGTGTGGAAAGAAACAAAGATAAATTAGGAAACACTAAAGTGAAACTGATCTAATTACAAGGAGATAAATTATACTGATGGCTGCTTTTATGAGTGCCGAACCTAAAGCAAAACACTTTACAATGTGACTTAATCCTCACAGCATCCCTATGAAATTTTGCAGGTGAGAAAACCAAGGCTCAGAGTGCCCAAATGGTTGGTTTGTGGTGGATAATTTAGACTCTAATCTAGGTGGTATGGGCCAAAAAGAAAAAGAAAAAAGTGGTTCTGTGCAAGGTAACTTCACAGGGTGAGCTGATCATAAACTCCTAAAGGGACAGGTCTTGGTGGGTGGTCATGCCCGGGCCTATCTAATGTCTTCAGTGAAGGGTTTTAAGCCAGTCCTCTCCATTGTTCTTGTGCATCCAGGTTAACGCTCCTTTGACATGCAGAAGTAGTACTCCTCCAAAAGAATATTGACCCTCAAGAGAGCAGATACTCGTATTAACTATCCTATAATTCAAGCCACACCTTGCTTTCTCCAATCTTTATGTCCCCGCCTTCACTTCTTTTTTCCTTTATGGTTTATTGTGTATGCTATTTCCCCTCCTTAATCTCAAATGTGTAAATGAAGCTGCAAAACTGTTCTTCTCTGGAGCATTTGAGATCTTGCTCCCCAGCATATGTCCTCAGTTTGGCTTAAATAACTAAAGTTAGAGAATATAAAAATTCTCTGCAGTTTTGGAGGTTTCTTGCCGCGGCCAGCGAGGCAGTGGGTTCGAGACGCGCAGTGACGGACTGAAAAGAGAGAGCGACCAGTTGCTCTGGTGGCAAAAGGCAAGTTTATTGAAAACTCCTGTCATTATATAGTGAGATGTTCTAAAAATAGAATGCTTGCTACGTAATGAGAGTCTTTGTTCAAGAAAGTTTACACACCCCTTCAGGTCACGTACAGAACATCCTGGTTTAGATTAACTCCAAGGACACGACGCATCGCCTCAAGGCTCCGGCACCTCCCTGTCCTTCTCTTGGGCACAATCCGATAACAAACAAGGCCGGGGTGATGTCAGGTCACCTCCCCCGAGGCCAAGGAACAGGCCCAAGCATCATTCTCACAATGCAGGACCCTAACTCTTGACCCCTTCCTGGGGGGCTTGGTTCCCCCACATCTCCCCCTTTCTTGTTTAGGACAAGGCAATAGGTGCCTCATGACTTTTATAATCCAATCTTTGTCTTTTTTAAATCGAGGTATAGAGTTTGGATGTGCCCAAGTAGATATCGCAAAATGCACGGAAGGCAAAGCAGTAAAATAAGGACAACGACTCCGGTTCCTAGCCAATTGTACAAGAGTTGGTGAATGGAGGGAAAATAACCGGCTAAAGTGTTAAAGAATTTTTCGGCATCTCGAGCAATGTCGACGTCCAATGGGGGGGCATTGACTAGATCCTGTATCTCTTTGTGTAAGGCGGCGAGGTCCAAAGAAGTGTTACAATTATGCCAGATTCCCGTCAGGTGATTCCGCACCTTATCCCAAGGGAATCGAGAAGAATTGTAAGGAAACGGGGTAACACAAATATGTGAGTATTGGAAGTGACATTTTAGAGAGGAGCGGACCTCGAGAGAGTTCAGTTCCTCTCCGACAACCCTTACGGTATCGTACAGAGCATTCAACTTCTGCTCTATTTTTTCGATCCCATTCCTCTTGGGTCTGAAATGCAACAGACACATTGCGAGCTAGCTCGTTAACGAAGTCCGCGGTCTGAACCTCTTCTGTTAGTGCTATGGCGGCGGTGGCGGCCGTAGCTATAAGGGCAATTAAGGCAGATATTCCTGTAAGGAGCATTCCTACGAACCGTTTTGTGCGGGCCAACATTAAGTCATTAACCTTTTTGGATGATAGCAAAACCAGGGTCCCCATACCAAGGGGTGGAAAGGTTAACAGGTACAAAGGCAAAAGAAGGTTGTTTCAATACAGCAAATGAACTAACATTCATAGATAGATTACGGCAGTTAGTTAGATAGCACTGATCACAGGTTAGGTTATATACAGTATTATGAGAGACCTGCAAGTCTCCAGCAATGAACGCGAAAGGGTCGGGTACACAAGCTATCACAGAAACATTCTTCTGATTTCCAGACCAAGAGATGGCGTCCTGAGCTCCTATGTGCATCCACTGGACTGCTCTCTTTGCTACGGTAATATACTGAAGAGAGGCCACAGCTTTCCACAACATAGTCTGATAGGTTCTATTGTTTTTGGTCCAAATTCCGTAGAGAAGATTTTTGAGGCTGCAACGAGCCGTTGCGAAAGTCACTCCAGTCACAAACCCCTTGGTCGCAAACTGTTTGATTGAGATGGCAAATCCTCCAGGCCGGTCCCCATTGGCTGGGCGACGGGGTCCGACTTCTGCAAGTTGGAATGTCGGCAGGGGGAGTTCCTCTGGATAAGAGTACAGTTTTCCAGAGAGGTGGAGAAGCAAAGCGGCTGCGTCGTAGATATGCCTGAATAATTGACCATCGCACTCACTGGTATCACGTGTCCGACGGAAGGGGTGCCCAGTACCTGGGTGTTGTTGACATAAACTGGAATGAACTCGTTGTCTTCCCAAGTGACTGGGTGCATGACGAACACAGCGTTCAGGCAGCCAACGAGGAGTCTCAGCGTCTGTAGGGAAAAACACACACATACCCTCTTCCCCCATATTAATACTGGGTCTGGGCCATGGCGTGACCCGTCAATGGGATCTCTCCAATAAACTTGTGGGTATTGACTCATACGTGGGCTCCAATGACGGTCAGCTGCAGAGCGCCCCTCGGTATCTAGAGTGAGGAAATTTAAAACGAAAAGGGAATGGGCTAACAGTAACTTCGGGGACCGAGGATCATACCATCTCCCCCCTTTTAATTTAGTAAGCTGGTGTTTCAAAGTAAGATGGGCACATTCAACAAGCCCTTGGCCCTGTGGATTATAAGGGATACTGGTTTTGTGAATAATTCGAAAAGAGAGACAAAAATCGTGGAAAGTACGGCTGGTATAGGCGGGAGCATTATCAGTTTTCAGTACGCGAGGGGTTCCTAAAACGGCAAAACAGGAAAGGAGGTGAAGAATAACGTTACGGGTATTTTCGCCGGGAAGAGCTGTAGCGCATAAAAAATGAGAACAGGTGTCAATCGTAACATGCAAATATTGAAGTTTTCCGAAGGAGGGAAGGTGGGTTACATCCATCTGCCAGAGATCGTTAGGGCGAAGGCCCCTAGGGTTGACGCCAAAATGAGGAACAGGGGATAAGGGAGCACAGGAAGAGCATGACTTGACAATCTGTCGTGCGGCATCCCTGGTCAAGCGGAATTGATATCGTAACGAGCGGGCTGACTGATGGTGAAGGGCATGAGAATCCGTAGCTTGCTGTACCTGTGACAGATAGACTTGTGTATGAAGATCAGCAAAATGATTACCTTGCGCAAGAGGACCAGGGAGTCGGGAGTGACCTCGAATATGTCCGACAAAACAAGGGGAAGAACGAGATTGAAGGAGGGATTGAATTATAAGGAATAATTGGAAAATAGTAGGGTTGTGAGTATGGATCAGAGGGACTGTTTCAAGGACAGATAAGGCACGAACGATATATTGACTGTCAGTGTAAAGATTGATTGCCTGCTGAAAAAGCTCCAACGCGCGGGACACTGCATAAAGCTCAACTTCCTGTGCAGATGAAAAGGAGGTGGACCATACAAAAGTTTTATCAGGAGTAACTAAAGATGCTCTGCCATTAGAAGAGCCGTCAGTGAAGAGAGAAATGGCTCCTGCGATGGGGTCACTGACGACAACCTTAGGAAAAGTGAAAGAGGCAACGTGCGCGAACTGTAGAATCTTGTCATGCGGGAGGTGATGAGCTATTTCACCTGCAAACCCTTCAAAGGCAAGAGCAAAGGAGTCATTAAAATTCATCAACCAAGAATATTGCTCTGCAGTATAGGGGATAATAATTGTGGGAGGATCCCTGCCTAGGACTTGTATAGATAATTTACGGCCTTGCTGAACGCGCTCCGCCACCAGGGTAGGGTAGGAAAGAAGGGCTTTCCGCGGGGTGGCAGAGCCATGGAGCCATTGCAAAACACCCTGTTGGTAGAGAACGCCTGTTGGTGTCAGCAAGGTGGGAATGATAATTAACTGCCAGGGCCGAGCGCGGCGACGGTCTCGGCTTCCTCGGCCCCGGGATGCGGCGAGCGCTGCTGCCGGGGGGCTGTAACACTCGGGAGGGCGGGCCCCCGCCCTACCCCCCCGGGAGGGGGGAACGAGACGGGGCCCCCCCGAGCCACCTTCCCCGCCAGCCTTCCCAGCCGTCCCGGAGCCGGTTGCGGCGCACCGCCGCGGCGGAAATGCGTCCGGCAGCGGCCGGTCGCCGGCCGGGGGGCGGTCCCCCGGCGACCCCACCCCCGGCCCCCGCCCGCCCGGCCCCACGCACCCGCCGGGTGGCGGGGGAGGGGAAGGGCGGGGGGAGGGACCGGGAGGAACGGGGAAGCGGGAAAGACCCGCCGGGCCGCCGGCACGGCCGGACCCGCCGCCGGGTTGAATCCTCCGGGCGGACTGCGCGGACCCCACTCGTTTACCTCTTAACGGTTTCACGCCCTCTTGAACTCGCTCATCCCTTAATTCTTTAAGCACAGACAATAATTCTTTCAGGGTTGGATCCGCCTCGCCGGCCGGCTTCTTATCCTCAGCCGAGGCGAGGAACACCTCCTGAGGGGGGTGATACGATGCTGTCTGGTCAGCAAGGTCCCCCCAATCAACTTCTGCTGGATCGGGAACCCAGGGTTTCTCCGATAAGTTCACTTCTGGCTGATCATACTTCGGCGGTTCCCATTTTAGGGGGGGTGCGGTCGGCGGAGGTGGTGGGGAATATAGATTCTCCGCCGAGCGAGCAGCACAGAGACTGCCCCGCATGCTGCGCTCCCACTTGGCAAGCTCAGAATCCCCCCTTAAGCAGTCTCGAACAAGAGACCAAAGAGAGAACGCATCTACAGGTGTCTTCTCAGGACCATTAGTTTGATAATGCTCTTTGATGCGCTCCCCCACTTTCTTCCACGTATCTATATTTATAGTCCCTTCTTCTGGAAACCACGGGCAGATCTGCTGAATGAAATCTACAAAGTGATGGATTTGCCCTTTCGACGTGGAAATTCCCCGTCCCCTCAATAGGGAACATAATACCTGCTCAAAGAGTTCCCTCTCGGTAGAAAGTGAAACCCCCCATTTTTATTAGCTCTCTTCGTCTACTCCCTGCTACTTTCGTTTTTCTTTTTTCTTTCGTATACTTACTGGGCCCCTGTAGCAGCGGTCCTGTCAGGCTCTGCTGTCGTCAATCTCAGGACTCTGGTGGTCCCCCGAAGACCTCTGGTTCCGGTCCCTTGTTCGGGCGCCACTTGCCGCGGCCAGCGAGGCAGTGGGTTCGAGACGCGCAGTGACGGACTGAAAAGAGAGAGCGACCAGTTGCTCTGGTGGCAAAAGGCAAGTTTATTGAAAACTCCTGTCATTATATAGTGAGATGTTCTAAAAATAGAATGCTTGCTACGCAATGAGAGTCTTTGTTCAAGAAAGTTTACACACCCCCTTCAGGTCACGTACAGAACATCCTGGTTTAGATTAACTCCAAGGACACGACGCATCGCCTCAAGGCTCCGGCACCTCCCTGTCCTTCTCTTGGGCACAATCCGATAACAAACAAGGCCGGGGTGATGTCAGGTCACCTCCCCCGAGGCCAAGGAACAGGCCCAAGCATCATTCTCACAATGCAGGACCCTAACTCTTGACCCCTTCCTGGGGGCTTGGTTCCCCACAGTTTCTTACATTGACAGTGGGTCTCTTAGTCTAAAACAATTATTTCACACTGAGGAGGCACTCACAGGAGGATATATCACATCAAGTGGGATGTTATTCAAAGGTCGTCTAAAGAAGGTTGGATTTGAGCTGGTAGAAAGAAGACGGGTTTTACTGGAAAAGGAGAGAAGACAGAGTCCGAGCAGACGGCTAGCGTGAGCCATCCTCAGTAAGACATTCTAGTGGCATGTTCGACCATTAACCTTGTAATTAACCACAACCTGGGTCTAAGAAAAGAGGATTGGCCCCTGACCAGAGGAAGTCTAGACTCGTGGGAGAATAGAGAAGGTCTGGTTCAAGGAAGAACATCACCTCATAGCACTGGTCTAGGACAGAGACTGTAGTGCCCCCACACGGCAGGGGGTGGCTGTGCAGCCCAGGGAGAAGGGGCAAGAGGGGCAGGAGGAAGGGCTGCTCCCTTCCAAGTGGATCAATGGAGAGCAAACATATACCACGCACACTCAAACATAAAAGGAGACTCACGGCTTCTTGAGGATACACCATGAGTACTGGAGGGGAGACTTGAGGAATGATGGTCAAGACATGTGAGACTCACTGCCCTGTTTATATCTTCAAGATGAGTTGCCCAACAGGTATCACAGAATTTATTAATGAAATGATCAAGTAGTTCTTTGGCACCAGTTATGTGACGGAATGACAATTTTTAAAATTGGGGTTTCAAAAAGACATTTTCCAAAGTCTCCAGGAAACACGATGGAGAAATGTGTTTGGTGGGCTTTAAGAGCTGATGCCACCATGACAACCTAGAGGTAGGTCTCTAGAGATGTGACCATTTAGCTCGGTTCTTGGCCATGTTATTAGCAAATGTAGTGCATGATCTAAATAAAGACATTGGCTGAAGGGCTATCATATTTGGCAAAGAGAACTAATGTGTTATTCAGAGAATCAAAAGAAAAAAGTTATTACCTGAGAATTGTTTTGACTCTATTGAGATTATACAGGGTGGGGAAAAGTAGGTTCACAGTTTTGAGTATGTGAAACAGAGTTTATTCCTGTATTATTATTTATTAATTATTGTATTACTTTCTACATGAACAACTGTAAATCTACTTTTGTCCCACCCTGTCTTTAATTACAAAGACTACAAAGTTTAGCATCTACTTTCTGGAAAACCAAATTGAAAAGGGAAGAAATGTCTGCTTGGGTAACATCATCTCTTAGCCACTTGCTTCGGTGAACAAATGGAGAAGGAGCCACTGGTCTCATTGTCTCACATTCTTTTCATCAGATCACCTTTAGAATCAGGTAGAATAATTTTTATACTCTTTACTTCAGTAGGGAACCTCAAAAACTAGTGAAGAGTAAAGCCCTGGATATGAATGAACTCAGTGATACCCTCGCTTTACTGATGGAAAAAGAGAATGTTTCTTTAAAAAACTGGTTTAGAATTTTTAAGTTAAAAAACATTGAAAGAGCCCTGGATGATGTGGCTCAGTAGTTTAAGTCCTGGCTATGAACCAAAAGGTCACTTGTTTGATTCCCGGTCAGGGCACATGTATGGGTTGCAGGCTAGGTCTCCCATTGGGAGCGTGCAAGAGGCAACCAATCAATGTATCTCACACACACTGATGTTTCACTTCTTCTCTCTCTCCCTTCACCTCTCACTAAAAGTAAATAAAATCTTAAAAAAAAACATTGAAAGAAATGGGAAGGGGGAAGAAGGTGGTTTTTGTGTATTACTTTTCCC